GATTCTCAAAGTACTAACGAATACTATATAAATTGATTGCTTATAAGTCATATTTTACTCCATTCCTTCAGAAGACAAAATCTTATTTGTATTTTTTTAAAAATGGAGAGCAAAACAATGGTTGTATTTATGGTGACGATCTTGATGATTGGAAACCTTATAGTTGAAACTGAAGCTTTAGACAGACATCAAAGACGACAATATCTAATATGTTTTGCTCGTTGCAATAGAATTTGTATTGCTAGTCCATGGGTACGAAATAAACTTCTATGTCCTAGCAAATGTGCCTCACATTGTACGGGTAATAAAAAATCAGATGAAATTAACCAAATTGATGATTTTTGTCAAGTTGGTTGTGCTACTCTTCACTGTGATTCTGTTGAAGATCAGAGTAAGTTTTTCGAAACAATCATACATTTTAATATTCATATAAAATGATATTCTCATTCTTGTTTGTATTGAAATACTTTTACAATATCTATGTTTTTTTGTTGTTGTATTATGAACAGATATAAAGACCGATGGGAAAAAGGCTAAAAAATGTGTGAATTCATGCTCGGATATGTGTAGAAAAAAGAACTAAAAACGAAACTTAATTATATTTGTATGCAATAGTTAATTTTTGTTTCTAATAAAGGTTATAATTGGGTTGATACTTAATACCCAAAAAAAAAATGAAACTTCATAAATAGATTATGTACTCGTTTCAAGTTAATAAGAACATATCTATATATAATAGCAAACTCAAACATGAATATTTTTATTGTGTCTTCTCAAAAAACCACCTTGTATTTATAGATTTATGTTAGAGTCAAATTTTTTTTTTAAAAAACCGCATTATAGTTATTTTGAAGGGTTACATTTTCTTGAAAAATCACTTTGTGGTTATTTGTAAGAGTTGCATCTTTTCGTTAAAACCGCTTTGTCAAGAATTGCGTCTTTTCGTTGTAACCGTTTTTTCAAGGATTGTATCTTTTTATTATAACTATTTTGTCAAAAGTTGCGTCTTTTCAAAGTAACCTCTTTTTGGTTTTCTATAAGAGTTGCGTCTTTTCGAAAATAAATATTTTTGGGTTGTGATTTTTCGTAAAAAAACCGTTAAATAGTAATTTTTCGAAGTAACCGCTTTATAGTTATCGTTAAGAGTTGTGTCTTTTCTAAGAAAAATCGTTTAGAGTTTTAGTTTTTCTGTTTAAAAAAAAAAATCACATTATAGTTATTTTGAAATGTTGCATCTTCTTGAAAAAATCCCTTTATGGTTATTTACAAGAGTTGCATCTTTTTTCTAAAACTGTTTGTCAAGAGTTACATCTTTTTGTTGTAACCGTTTAGTCAAGAGTTGTGTCTTTTAATTATAACTATTTTGTCAAAGTTGCGTCTTTTCGAAAAAATATGGTTTTCTTTAAGAGTTGCGTCTTTTCGAAAATGAATATTTTTGGGTTGTGATTTTTCGTTAAAAACCCGTTAAATAGTTATTTTTCGAAGTAAACGCTTTATGGTTATCGTTAAGAGTTGCGTCTTTTCGGAAAGCCTAATATATAAATTTGTTTTAGTTTTTCTGCTGGTTATCAATTTGTTAATTATGGCTATTGATTCTATAATTCACTTAAAGCATAAGATAGATAAAAACGTCAATCTATTATTTTTAAATTATTTTAAAATATTGATCTTTTTACTATTGATGAAGTTCCTAAAGTTCTTGATTTGTGTAAAGAATTTTGGATCTCTTTGGACAATGCGGATATTATTGCGTCTTTTCGGAAAAAACTGTTTGTTCTATATATTTGTGTTTTTTACTCTATATATTTCTTTGTTGAACATTATGTGTATTTTAATATGATTACTAATTTTAAAATTCACTCAAAGCATAACAATGATAAAAATGACATTCTATTATCTTAAAATTATTCAAACGTATTGAGTTTTTTACTATTGTAGAATTTCTTAAAATTATTGATTTGTGTAACAAATGTTGGAATTCTTTAGACAGTGTAGATTTTATGGCTAAATTTTAAATTCTATGATGTTTTAATTAATGCATCATAGGATTACATTTCTGATAAAAACCATTTTATGGTTATTAAAAACATCTAAATATTGCCTATTAAAAACCGATTCGTCTGGGTTTTGGGTTCTCTTCTTCTTCTTCTCAATCTCGCTTTTCAATCCAATTCAAGGGTTCGTTTGGATCCAAATCAACTAAAGAAACTGCTTTTGAATACTCTAAGAAGCTGCTTAATGTTTGTGGATGTTTGTTTAAATTAGCTTCATCGTTTATGTGTTGATCACATGCTTTGGTATCGTATGTTAAAGATCAAATATGCATACTTTTAGGGTTCTACAACTGTTTTTTTGCATTTGTTTGATGTTTTCTTTGATGCTTAGGTGGTTGGATCTGTGTAATTTGGCATGAGTTATAAGATTGTAGAACAATGCTTAGGATATGTTCTATGTGACTATTACTTATCTTATCACAGGAATTATGAGATGAATTATTTAGGATATGTTCTAAGCTTTCTTGATGGAATATGACTCTGTAGATCATGGTAGAAGCAGGAGCACGAGCAGGTTTCTGTGAGAAGCAAGGTATTCATTTTTCTAAATCTCTAGTTATACCATTGATTGCTGGTATTTGTTAGTTTTAGATTAGGTGAATACATATAAGTAGGACATTGATTGCTGGTTTTTGTTAGTTTTAGATTAGGTGAATACATATGTAGGACATTGAATGCTTAAAACACCTAGTTATGGTTTTATATGACTCTCTGTCTAGCCGTTTAGAAACTGGACTCCTACAATTCAAGAAGTGATTATAATTCTTTCCTCTACAACTGAAGCAATTGAAGCAAAAAAAAAAATGGATTTCTCTTTGGAGTTTCGATAAAAGAACTAAAGAAAGCAGAAGAAGTTTTCTGCACTGGAACTGCCACTAGAGTTGCTTCTGTTGGAACTTGGAAGCATCACGTTTCAAAACACAAGGTTTCTTCTTCTACTTCCTCATTTTCTCCACATACAAGTATGCAATGTCAGACTTAGAGTTAAACACATATCTTGTTGATAAATATGCAGGACTGAGTACAATGTAGGAGACGCGCTTGTGACACAACAACTTCGATCTATTCTTGTCGGAATACAAACTGGTTCCATCCAAGACACTAAGGATTGGGTTTTGCAGATTGACTAATTTTAGAGAACTTTTGTTTCGTTTTTTAAGTTGTGCACTCTTAGTTTGATGTATCAAAATATTTAGAACTTTGCATTGAGGTTCTAACCAAGGGAGGAGTAAAAATTTTAAAAACAATTATAGAATTCTAAACTAACTTTAATGTTGGTTTAATATTATAAAATTGTTAAGAACCCAATTAAAAGTTTTTAGGCCATCTTTATCCATGGTTTTTTAGGCGGTTCTTAAAATATAAAATTATTAAAACACACTCTCTCTCTTCTTTTTACTCAACTTTATACCTTCTCTTTCATACTTTTATTCAATTTTTATTAATTTTATATTTAAACACACCTAAAAACCCTCTCCAAAAGTTTCTTAATATACAACTTAAACATACCTTCTCTCCACTATCTCATCTTTTTACTCAAATTTTATTAATTTTATATTTCAATACACCCCATTATTTCAACCAAAAACACTCTATTTCTTCATTTTACTCAAATTTCAATAATTTTATATTTTAAGAACCCCCTAATATACCCCCAATAAAGATACCAATGTAGATGCTCTAAGGTATCTTATTTTGGAAGCCAAACTTAACAAATCAATGTAATATGTTTTTTTTTTAAAGTATCATAGACTTAAAACTGAACCTTTTTTTTTGTGAGCTATGTGAAAAGTTGTCTTTTTTCTAATAACCACTATATGGTTATTATTGAACAGTTACAACTTTTCAAAATGTGACTTCTCATTGTTGGCTACTATTTCTTAAACTGTATATATTGTTTGCTATTTATTTATTTTAAATTTAATTTTTTTGTGGTTACTGATGCATCATAGAGTTGCATTTTAAAAAACAAATGTTTATCTTTTCACTAATATATCATAGGGTTTCCTTTTTTTCAAAAAATATGTTTGTGGTTATTAACGCATAGAGTTGCAGTTTTTGTTTTTTTACTTCTATTTCAAGGTCTTTTATGTTATTCTTTAAATTTATAAGGTTCAATTTCC